GCCCAGCACCGAGGCGGCGGGGGAAGGCGGCGTGGCCCCCACCCGGGCGGCCATTCCCACAGGCAAGGGCCACGGCTCCTCTCCCGCCCTTCCCTTCCTTTCCCTTTGGTGCTGGTCCCAGACAGGGCCTGGCCATGTCCCTCAGCTCTTCAGCTCAAGGCGGGCGCTCTACCCCTTGAGCCACAGCGCCACTTCTGGTTTTCTGGTGGTTCCTTGGAGATCAGAGTCTCACGGACTTTCCTGCCCGGGCTGGCTTTGAACCACGATCCTCCGCTCTCAGACTCCCGAGTAGCTGGGATGGCAGGCGGGAGCCGCCCCGTGTCCAGCTTATTTTTCCATGTAACATAGAGAAAGGGAGCGTTGGGCTGAATAGAAAGTACCAGAAGGCCAGGGACGTGACGGCCGGCTGCCTAGCACATAGTAGTTGCTCCACGAATCCAACCTTTGGAATGCCTGAGGCAGGCGAGGGGGCGGTGGGCCGGGATCGCCGCCGCTCGGGAGGCTGCCATGTGGGGATCACGGTTCTCAGCCGGCCAGGGCGGGAAGTCCGCCAGACTCTGATCTCCACCGAAAAGCCGGACGTGGCGCGTGGCTCAAGCGGAGGAACGCCAGCCTTGAGTTCAAAGGCTCAGGGAGAGTGACCAGGCCCTGCGTGCAAAGCCCAGGACTGGTGTGTGCACACGCACACGCACACACACACGCACACGATGCTCTCAGATCCCCCTCTCCATCTCCCATGACACGTGGAAGCCCGGCGGCTCCCGATGTGCCCACGTGGGGAGGGGGAGAGGGTGGACGGGTCCCCGACGAGCTCGACAGCCTGAGCTTTCCCTCCCAGGCCTCCCCTCCCAGCCCTGTCCCCGCAGCTGGTCCAGACACGGCGCCAGCTGCTACCGGTTGGTTTGGTCCCTGGATTCCTGGAACGGAAGCCGGAGACGCTGCTCCCGGCTAGACTCCGCGCTCCTGGCCATCGAGAGCCCGGAAGAGTTTGTAAGTGCAGCCGTTCACCCCGGCCCCGGGACCCACCGCCCTGTCCTCCGCCCGTCACCCCGCTGCTCAGGAGGCCGAGATCTGAGGATCACCGCTGGAGGCCAGCCCGGGCAGGAAAGCCCCTGAGACTCTGATCTCCAGTGAGCCACCAGCAAACATGGAAATGCAGCGTGGCTCAAGGGGTAGAGCACCAGCTGCTGTAGGAGGCGCTCAGGGACAGCGCCCAGGCCCTGAGTTCAAATCCCGAGACAGCAACAAGACATACATATATATAGATGTATATATATATTTTTTTTCTCTAAGGGAAAATAACTTTCAGTGTTCTCCGAAATAGCTACACTTGCGTGTGATACGCGTGTAACTCACACAGCACGCTCTCTACCCTCTTATTTAGAAAGTCATCCCACGTCACTTGAAAATACATTTTTTTGAATGCGTTTCATATTCGTTTGACTCCATGAAGCCCAGGCTGATTTTTCGTAGCGTGTGCACATGTGCGTGCGTGTGTGTGCACGCACACGCGTGTGCATGGTCGTTTTGACCCAAGGCCTTGAGTTCTTGTTCGGCTTTTTTCACTCAAGACCGGTGTTCTACCCCCTGAGCCACAGCTGCCATTTCTGTTGGGTTTGATTTCGTTTCTGGTGGTTCATGGGAGATCAGAGGCTCAGGGACGTTCCTGCCCAGGCTGGCTTTGAACCGCCATCCTCAGATCTCAGCCTGCTGGGCAGCTGGAACTGCAGGCATGAGCCTCCGGCGCCCGGCCAGTATTTTTCCCCATGTCCCGGACACGCTAGTGTCTGGAAGGTGGCCTGACCTTGCCTTGATTTCCATTGCAGGATTTTGTAAGAAGCCAAACATCTCTCCATCCTGCCAACGCCTTCTGGCTGGGCCTTTCCCGGCGCGGCGCCCAGGGGCCGTGGCTCTGGGAAGATGGGTCTGTACTCTCTCCTGACATGTAAGATGCCACACGCACCTTCCTCTGACAGAGAAGGGCCCTGCCACGGAGAGCCGAGTCACCCGGCCACCTGGGATGACAGAGAGTGTGGCAATGGGGAACCCCAAAAACAGAGACCTCCGAAAGAGTAGAGGCCGGCCACCGGGGCTCACGCCTGCCATCCCAGCCGCTCAGGAGGCTGAGATCTGAGGCTCGTGGTTGGAGGCCGGGCTGGGCAAGAACATCCCTGAGACTCTTCTCTCCAATGAACCAGCAAAAGGCTGGAAGTGGAGTTGTGGCTCAAGTGGTAGAGCACCAGCCTTGACTGACAAATGAAGGCGCCAAGCCCTGAGTTCAAGCCAGTGCACACACACACACACACACACACACACACACATTAGTGCAACTATACTTTGTGTGGAGCAACTTAAAGGATAAATAAGCAATGTTTTTTGGTAGAATATACACAGTGGGATGTTTAAAAGGTCAATTTTCTTCTGTAATTATGGAGATAATTCTATTCCCACTTGATCACTGACGTCATCTTTCTTAGTGTGTGTGCCAGCCCCGGGGCTGGAACTCGGGGCCCGGGCACTGTCCCTGGGCTTTTCCGCTCAAGGCTGGCGCTCTACCCCTTGAGCTCAGCTCCACTTCTGGCTTTTTGATGGCTCACGGGAGCTCAGAGTCTCGGGGACTTTCCTGCCCGGGCTGGCTTTGAACCGCGATCCTCGGGTCTCAGCCTCCTGCGTGGCCGGGAGGGCAGGCGGGAGCCTCCGGCCCTGGGCTCACCCCACGGCGTTTTATGTCAACAGATTTCCTGTCAGAAGCACAGCCACTCAGGAGGGGGCCCCTGACTCCTGTGCCTGGATCCACGGGTCGGACATTTACACTCAGTTGTGTCACACGCCCGCATTTAGTATCTGCAAGAGGTTGTCTGTGTAAGAGGCCGGAGGAGATGAAGAGGCGCGATTGTAAAAATGGCTCAAAAAACAAAATAAAACGGAGTGATTTCTGAGGCCGCAAACACGAAGCTGGCATGTGTGTGCGTGTGTGTTGGCTGGTCGGGGGGCCTTGAACTCGGTCCCCCAGCTGTCCCCACTCGAGGCTGGCGCTCTACCCCTTGAACCACACCTCTACTTCGGCTTTGTGGTGGTTCCTGGGAGATCAGAGGCTCAGGGACGTTCCTGCCCGGGCTGGCTTTGAACCACGATCCTCAGGTCTCAGCCTCCCGAGTAGCTGGGATGACAGGCGGGAAAACTTCCTGCAGAGGTTTTCCTCGGGGGTGGAAGAAGGTGGCTTCTTCTGGGCCAATCCAGACCAGACACGCACACGCACACACACGCACACACACATGCACACACACGCTCACGTGCTGTGTCTCCACGCCTGACCAATTTGGCCATTAGACAGGCCCAGCCCCTCCCAGCAGGAAATGCAGTCAGAGTTTTCCCAGGCGGGCTGGGAGTGCCTTCTAGCACTTTCCACCGGGAACTGCTCCTCGCTGCTTGGGGCCGGCTTTGCCCCCGGCAGCCGCAGAGCTCTGAGGCCGGCCGTCAGGATGCAGGCCAAGTGCAGCAGCACCGACGGCTTCTGGGAGGACGAATGGGACACCAGCGCCAGCCTGGCCTCCCAGGCTTTCACCTTGGCCGGCCAGCCCCAGCCCAAGCCTGCAGGTACTAATGTCTGGGGCCGGTGAGCTAGGACTCCAGAGAGGTGTGTGAGATGAGGTCTCTGCCCAGGCCAAAGGCAACTTCTGGGGAAAGGCAGGCAAACGTGGTTGCGGGGGTTGTTTTTCTCCAAACTCTGACTGTGGTTTTCTTGGCAATGGGTGTGTCAGGGAGGAAGTGGCAGGAGTTGGCAGGAAACCCACCTCCCCGTGGGCGAATTCCCTGCCCACGTGGAGTCTGGGGTTGCCTCTCTGTAAATTTCTTTCTCTTTTCCCCGATCTGGACTTGGGGGTTGGATTGGGGAGGACTTCCTTCCTTGGGGGCGGCTGTGTTTGAACTCGGGTCTCCACCGAGGGCGACTTCTCTGTGGATTAGTGAATGATGGTTGTCATCACGCTCTGTATCGGCGGGCGCCCGACAGTCACGCCTACGATCATAGCCGCTCACGGGTCTGCGGTCTGGAGGATCGCGGTTCGCCGGGACCCCCAGGCGGGAAAGTCCCTGAGACGTAACCAGCAAAATGCTGGCCTGGAGGCGTGGCTCAAGGGGTAGAGCACCCACCCTGAGCGAGAATGCAGAGTCGGAGCCTGAGGCTCCGAGTTCAAGACCCGGTACCCACCGGCGAGCACTCCCACCACGAAATCCCGTGGGCTGGGCTGTGTCACGGCTCTGAACCCCCGAGGGGTCTTGGGGTGTCACGCCAGCGGCAGATGTGCAGTTGGTAACGGTGTGGAGGTGGCGGAAGGCAGGTCCTTCTCCCCGATCCTCCGCGGGCTCTGAAACCCTGCGCTTCAATCCCGTCCTGCGGGTGGCTCCACGGAGCTCGGCTGACTCGATGGATTGGGTCTCTGACTACTACGGGGACGATGGGATCGCGGGGAGAGGCTGGCTGGACCCAGACCCGTCTTCTTAGCTGTCCATCCCGTGTACAGAGACTCGCCCTCCCTTCTTCTGCCCCTTGGTAGGATTTCCTTGCCCGGGGAGCTGCGGTTCTCTCCGGGGATTACAGTTGTGTGTGGGGGGGGGTGGGTCATCACACCCTGATACAGGTGTGGTCAGGTTCCAGATTCCAGTCCCAGGCAGGGCCCTGGGCACCAGGGATTGTGGACAAGTTTACACAGGGTGCTTCAGGCTCAGTTCAGATGGGACTAAGTTCCAGATTCCAGTCCCAGGCAGGCTACTTACCACCTGGGATCTTGGATGAGTTAACACAATGTGTTTGAGGCTAGGTTTGAGATTCAAGTACCTTGGCACCTGGGATCGTGGACCAGCTTACACAGGGTGCTTAGGGCTCAGTACAGGTGAGACTGAGTTCATTCAGAACTAGGCCTGACACGTAGCAGCTGGAATCATGAACAAGTTGACACACTATGCTCAGGGCTCAGCACAGATGAAACTGGGTTCATTCAGGTACCAGGCAGGGCCCTTGGTGTTGGGTCTTCGTCCGTCCCACGAAAGACGGACGGGGTCCGAGGAAAGGTAAGTGCGGCGCTCGCCCGTTCCCTAGCCTCCCTCAGCCCAGGAGACAATCAGACACAGCGGGGAGCCAAATCCAGCAGGTAGAAAAACTCGTTTATTAACAGAGAGCAGCCCCTTTTAAAGACAACAAGGGTGGGTGGTATGGTAAGGGAGGAAGAGGAACCAATCACTGTCAAGGTCACACCCTATCATTCACCTGAGCCCTCACGGGCTGGTTAGGCACTGATCAGAAGATCAATTGGGGTCTGCCCACTCAACCCCTCCCAGAGCCATCTTGGCTGGCCATGTGCTCTCCAGTAAATTAGGCTCTGCCCACTCAACCCCCTCCCAGCGCCATCTTTGCTGCCCATGTGCTCCACAGATTCCCCCTTTTATTTTTGTTTTAATGGCAGACCCACCTAGCACAGTAATAAACATCAGTCCCACCAGTTAGAAATGTCCGAAGCAGTTCAACTAATTCCTGGGCACCTGGTGTCTTTTAAGTACGCCAGTTCCTTGTATGTGCCTTTAAGCTAGCACAGGAGTCAAGATGACCTTTGAGCTTTACTGTCAGCTCCCAATTGCTCCCAACATCATCCCAATAAACATCAGTCCCACCAGTTAGAAATGTCCGAAGCAGTTCAACTAATTCCTGGGCACCTGGTGTCTTTTAAGTACGCCAGTTCCTTGTATGTGCCTTTAAGCTAGCACAGGAGTCAAGATGACCTTTGAGCTTTACTGTCAGCTCCCAATTGCTCCCAACATCATCTCCCCCCCCCCCCCCCCCCCGTCTTTGCTTAAAGAAGCGAACCCGCCTGTCTTAGGTTGGGTGGATCGCCTTGTCTGCCTTACCCGTCATCGGGAACTTCTTCAGAGCGAAGCTGAAGGCCCTGTCTTAGGTTGGTCAGACTGACACCCCCTCTTACCTGTCTCTGGCTGCGATTCCTCTGGGGGGGGGATTCATTCATTTGGAGCTTGATAACTGGCTGGCTAAGCTCATAAGAGTTTTGCAGTGCACGTATAATGCAAGGAAGGCATAGAAAAACCATCAGCAAAAGCATTCCCAGGCCAGGAAATGTCACTACTAGTCCTTTAACCTTAGTGAAGGATGGGGTAGGAGTCTTTGCCACTTCAGAGTCCAGAGGTGGAGATTGTTCTAATCCAGCTATTTGCCTGTGGGGTTGGACAAGATCTGAACTGGAAGCATAACAAAAGGGGGTTGTTTAACAATTAAGTATGGATTCAATGCTGCTATACAAGCAATTAGTAAAAGAACAATTAAAGCAGGTAACATTAAAATAATTAACTCCTACAAAAATATTAAACAGTCCATAGGGTGGTGATCAAAATGAAGGTCAGGCCACCAGGTCGAAGGGACAGCTTCTCTTGTGGTGCTCCTGACGATTTCTGCATTGCCAGCATTGATCACCGCCCAGGTCACCCGTTGAGGTTGATGCAGGTTCCGTAGGGCCGTTCACAGGATTCGGAGAGTCAGGACAGCCAACAGCTGGAGTGTCACCATCTGCAATTGTTAGAGAACACAAGAGCTTCTCAAGGGCTGGTTGCCCTTGGGGATGGTTAATAATTGTCTTTCTGGCTTTTGTCTTTGGTTAGCTTATTCTTGGGCATCCTCCTGTATAGAGGAAATGGGTAAAAACTTAAGGTTCCTGGCAGGGATCCAAATGGGAGCAGACTCCCCTATGGGGAAAACGCATCCAAATCCCCTGCCCATAGTAACTAGGGGGTCAGGTCCTCTCCATTGTTGTGTCAGGGGGTCCTTCCACCTGACTTTCACTTGGGGCTTAGGGTTTAGTTGTCCCCAGTGCTTCTGAAATCTGGATTCAGTTGCCCCTTTTGAAAAATTTAAGATGTTAATGGTAAACAAAGCTATCTGTAACTGTACATGGGGGCTAATTCCCATTTTTTGTTTTAATAATTGCTCTTTAAGACATTGATGATTTCTTTCTATAATTGCTTGGCCTTGGGGATTATAGGGAATTCCTGTAGTATGATTAATATGCCATTTGTCAAAAAACTCTAACATTGCTTTGCTAACAAAACAGGGTCCATTATCGGTTTTAACTTGTGCTGGTAGACCCAAGGTAGCAAAGCATTGAAGAAAATGTGCTTGTGAATATTTAGTTCTTTCTCCAGTATGTGCTGTGGCCCAGCATGCTCCTGAGTAGGTATCTATAGAGACAAAGATATATTTAAACTTACCAAAGGCCGGGAAATGGGTAACATCCGTTTGCCAGAGGACGTTGGGTTTAAGGCCTCTGGGATTTACCCCCGGGGGTTGTAACGGGGGTACTTTTAAGAAAGGCTGGCATGTTTTACAGGTATGTACTATCCTTTTGAGGTCCTTTACAGGAATCTGAGGAAATCTATGCTGAAGACCTCTCCAATTAATATGGGTTAAATCATGCAAACAGGTAGCCTCTTGTAATGTTAATGCTTGTGGGCCAGTAGCTAACTGGTCCGCCCACTTATTGCCTAGGGAGAAAAACCCAGGAAGATTTGAATGCCCTCTCAAATGCTGAATATGAATAGGGGCTCCCCGCCCTTCTAATAGGCCCTTAAGGGTAACCATAAGGGGGGAAATAGGGTTTTTATCCAGCTTAATATGTGCCTGGGGAATATGAGGGAGCAAGTTAATCATATATAGGCTATCAGCATACAAATTAAAGGGTTTTTGAATGTCCTGAAGAGCCATAATTACGGCCAGCATTTCCTTATATTGTGCTGACCCTTGACAAGGTTGAAATCTTTGCTGGCTCGGGGTCTTTTGTTGTTCCTCAAAGGCTGCATATGCAGAGCCCGCTTTACCTCCGTCAGTAAAAACATGGAGGGCGCCAGGAATAGGCGTAGGAGAAAATAGGGATGGTATTTTGAGGGGAAGTCGCCATAACATGACAGTCCATTTGGATGGCCCATAATGGCAGTCAGTTTGGCCTAGAAACCCCTCCAAGGAGAGAGCAAGACGAGCATTGGCTCGAGTGAGCCACTCAACGTCTGCCATCCGAAAAGGAAAAACAATGGAGTGAGGGTCGAGGCCATAATGCCTTTGGGCTTGCGTCCTTCCCTTCACAATAGCATCTGCAAGTTGGTCTGCTTGAGAGTACACCCGAGGTGTGCCCCCCAGGGGAGTGTGAACCCACTCTAATGGCTCCCCATTTTGAGTTAAAACTGCAGATATTAATGTGACCCCTGCAAACAACCAAAGGGAAATGGGCTCACTAATAGAATACCTCTTTAGAGAAACTTCATCCAGGGCTTTTTGGAACTGCAAAAATATTGCCCTATGGCTATCTGTAATTGTAATAACTTCTTGTGGCGTCCTGTCTTTTAGCAGGGCAAATAAGGGCACAAGACTATCTTTAGGGACAGAAACCCATGGCAACAGCCAATTGATTTCCCCTAAAAGACTCTGAAGTTGGGTTAAGGTTAGAGAGGCTGGAATATCCAGCAAAGGCTTAAGGGGGCTGGCCTGAGTCAAGGTAAGGTGGGTCCCGAGCACCTTAAAAGGAGGTACCTTTTGAATTTTATTAAGGGCTATGGTAAAACCCCCCTTTTTTAGTATGTCGAGGACCTGGGCCAGAAGGCCCTCCAGGCAGCTTGGGTCTCGGTGCCCCAGAATTATATCATCCATGTAGGCATAGGCAAGGGAGGTATCTGAACCCAGCACAGGCCCTAAAAGTGTGGCCAAATATTGTTGGCAGAAGGCAGGGCTATTGGCCATACCCTGTGGCAGTACCGTCCATTCAAACCTCCGGTCAGGCTGGGAGAAATTAAGAGAAGGTATAGAGAAAGCAAACTTCTCGCAGTCATCTGGATGCAGAGGGATAGAAAAAAAACAATCTTTAATATCAATCACAACCAAAGTATATTCTGAAGGTATAGCAGGAGTCCAGGGCATGCCTCTTAGGGGCGTTCCTACTAGCTTTCATTTACCTTCCGTAGATCTTGGAGCATCTGCCAAGCCCCAGAGGCTTTTTGAATAACAAATCCAAGGACTTATACAAGGGCGGATATGCCCGAGGCTTATCTGTTCCTCCACCAGAAGGTGGAGGGCTTCAAGTTTAGGTTTGGTCAATGGCCACTGCTCCACCCAGATTGGGCTTAGGGCGGAGTCCGTTCACCAGGGGGACGGTCCAATGGGCCTGGGTCACCCTGCCACGAGGCTGCCTGGGCCTCACAGCAGGGGGGGTTCCTCCTTGCATTAAAGGGGCTAGAGGATGCCCCTCCCCAAGTTTAAAGACTTCCCATCTAAATCAAATTTGTATCCCTCCCTGCCCCTGGGGTAGGGTATAGGGGGCGGTTTGCCCACGGGCCAGTTGGCAGGGGATTGTTGTAAACAATCCCTCTTAAAGTGCCCTTCCTGCCCCCATTTAAAACAAGTCTCTCTCCCCGATGGCCTTGGGGTTCCTTGGCCCTGGGCTGCCAGCGCCTGAGTAATGGCCTCAGTCATTGTAGATGCCTGAGCCTGTAAAGCTAAAGCTAGTGATTGGGACTGGTGCTGTTGCGTTCCCACATCCTGTGAGGCCACCACCCATCTGCTCAGGGAACTCTCTCTCAATCCCGTGCAGGCCATGCGGTGGTCTGCATTCATCCCTTCCCAGACCAGCAGCTTTACAAACTGATCTCGGAGGTTCCCTGTCGGCAGCTTGAGGTGAACACTCTGTTGGACTCGGTCTATGAAATCAGGTCGAGGCTCACCCAGTTTTTGTCTCACTTCTGCCATGGGGGACTCAGTAGGCCCATCATCTAGTTTGTACCACACGGCAAGTCCTGCCTGCCTCACCTGGTCACGGTACGGGCCAGGTATTGCGGCCTGTTGGATGCCGGTGGAGTACCCTTCCCCCTTCCCTGCTAGCATGGCATAAGTAATAGGTTTTGCTGGTTGAGCCTGCTGGTTACTCTCCGCTTGCACTCTGCATTCCTCCTTAAAGAAAGCACACCATTTAATAAACTGAGAACTAGTGGTCTGGGCCCAGGGAGAGTTTGGGCCATCCTCCGCCACCGCCTTGTGGAGCTCTTTAAGATCCTTAGCTTCCCATGGATACCATTCCAAGGGCCTGTTAGCCCCTGATGCCACATTGACCGGATACGCTTGGGGAAGCGAATCCTGTGGCCGAGAGTCTGGGCTCTTGGGTGGCCCTTCCTTTCCAGAGCTCTTGGGTGGCCCTTCCTTTCCAGAGGAGGTCTCCGAGTAGGTTACTTCCTCAGCCCTTGGTCCCTCCATGTGGTAGGGGTCTGGGCTTTGCAAGTCCCTCTCGCAGGTCTCGTAGGGCGCCGTACCTCCCGTCCAATCAGGGGAATAGGGAGGGGGCCTAGGACCGTCCGGGGCACCTGAGTAGCTGCCTCGGCCCCTGCATGCACAGATAGTGCGTTCCCGGTTGAATTTGACCTTTTCCTTTTCCTTTTTACTTCCCAAGTCCTCCTGTACTCCTTCTAGGCCTAATGTTGCCTCCTCCTCCTTCTTCTGTGATATAGCATTACCCATATTTAGGGTTTCACTTACCCCGAGAGACCGCTTAGCCTCGGCCGGTATCTTTTCCTTTCGTGCCCCACGTTGGGCGCCAGATGTTGGGTCTTCGTCCGTCCCACGAAAGACGGACGGGGTCCGAGGAAAGGTAAGTGCGGCGCTCGCCCGTTCCCCAGCCTCCCTCAGCCCAGGAGACAATCAGACACAGCGGGGAGCCAAATCCAGCAGGTAGAAAAACTCGTTTATTAACAGAGAGCAGCCCCTTTTAAAGACAACAAGGGTGGGTGGTATGGTAAGGGAGGAAGAGGAACCAATCACTGTCAAGGTCACACCCTATCATTCACCTGAGCCCTCACGGGCTGGTTAGGCACTGATCAGAAGATCAATTGGGGTCTGCCCACTCAACCCCTCCCAGAGCCATCTTGGCTGGCCATGTGCTCTCCAGTAGATTAGGCTCTGCCCACTCAACCCCCTCCCAGCGCCATCTTTGCTGCCCATGTGCTCCACACCTTGGCACCTGGGATCATGGACGGACAAGTTAACACAGGGTGCTTGGGGCTCAGTACAGACGAGACTGGGTTCTAGACTCAAGTATCAGGCATGGATACTTACCACTTGGGATTGTGGACAGGTAAACACTCTATGCTCAGGGCTCAGTACAGATGGGACTAAGTTCTAGATTCGAGGACCAGGCGGGGCACTTGGCCCCTGGGATCTTGGACAAGTTAACACCTTGTGCTTGGGGGTGCTGGTCCCCACTAACAGCTCACCGATGACAGCGGACGTTGTTTAATACTGTTGACGAAAACTCACTGAGGGAGAGGAGCTGGAGCTCTCTGTCAGGAGCACTGAGCAAAGACCCAGGAACCGCACGGGGCCCAGCCCCGGTTCACCCACACGGAGGAGCTTCCCGGGAATCCCGAGCGGCCCCTGGTGGTGGCTTGGTTGCTCTGTTTTGCGTGGGCTGGTGCAGAGGCTTGAACTCAGGCCTCCAGGCCTTGACTCGGCTTTTTCTGCTCAAGGCCGGCGCTCTACCACTTGAGCCACAGCGCCACTTCCAGTTTTCTGGTGGTTCACTGGAGATCAGAGTCTCATGAAGTTTTCCTGCCTGGGCTGGCTTTGAACCGCGATCCTCTCAGATCTCAGACTCCTGAGTGTCTGGGATGCCAGGCGTGAGCCACACACACACACACACACACACACACACACACACACACGCACATGCGCACACACACGCACGCAGCACGTGAGCGCCGGAGGCTGAGGTTTGAGGATCCAGGTTCCAATCCATTCGCGGCAAGGAAAGTCTGTGAGACTCTGATCTCCAATAGATCACCAGAAAACCGGTAGTGGTGCTGTGGTTCAGGTGGTAGAGCGCCAGCCTTGAGCAAAAGAAGCTCAGAGACAGCGCTCAAGCCCCAAGTTCGGGCCTCAGGCTGGCACAGAAAAAAGGGGAAAAAATAGAAATACTTGAATATAATACAATATATAATATAATGCTTGAAACATAATAAATGTAAGTAATAATATTTATAATACATAAATTATATATAATTAAAATTATGTATAAATGCACATTACCAAATATGTATATATAATATAGATGCATAGATAGATAGACAGATATTTTCTGTCTGTGTATGGTTTTTTTTTTTTTTGGGTCCGGTCATGGGGCTTGAACTCTGGGTCTGGGCGCTGTCCCTCAGCTCTTCAGCTCAAGGCTAGCGCTCTACCACTTGAGCCACAGCACCACTTCCAGCTTTTTTCTTTTTGCTTCTGTGGTGCTGAGGAATCGAACCCAGGGCCTCAGGCATGCAAGGCAAGCGCTCTACCACTGAGCTACCTGCCCAGCCCTGTCTGTGTATATATACATATATTTTTCTTATATATTGCACACACCTATTTGGTAGTGCGCATCTATTTTCCTGTAGGCCTTAGATTTGAATCCTTGTTGCTGAATCGTGAGGACAATGGGCATCTCCGCCCGCACTTCCTCTAAGAACAAAGGGGCTTCTGTTCAGAACGCGGCCCTGGCCCTGCAACCTTTCCTCCCGCGGCCCTAGGAAGAGGAGTCGGGAAAGCGGCGTGGCTTCCCACGGACATCTCCAGGGATTCCCACGTGTTTATAGCAGCCTGGCCCTGGCCTCTCTACCAATGACACAGCCCCGGGCTGGGCCCCACGCGACGACCCAGGAAAGCCCGGCCAAGTCAGCCCTGCACCCGCTGAAGACTGAGACACCCTGCCCTCCCCCTCCCCCCCGAGTCGCTGGGATGACAGGCGGGAGCCACCACCCAGCCTGGAGATGCTGATCTCCAAGGAGCCCCCAGAAAACCAGACATGGAGCTGTGGTTCAAGCGGTAGAGCACCAGCCTTGAGTGCAAAGCTGAAGTGACAAGATGAAGGTCTGAGTTCTATGCCCAGTGCTGGCACAGACAGACAGACAGACAGACAGATACTTCAGGGCACAGCAGGACTGGGGAGATGTTGGCCAGAGGCTTTGTGGAGCAGTCAGAACCTCGTGACCCAATTAAGATGATGAGTCAGGCACCGGCGCTCACGCCTGTCATCCCAGCTACGCGGGAGGCTGAGCCCCGAGGATTGCGGTTCGAGGCCAGCCTGGATAGTAGTTTGTGAGACTCTTCGTCCCAATGGAAGCCAGAAGTGGCGCTGTGGCTCCAGCGGCAGAGCCCTGGCCTTGAGGAAGAAAAGCTCAGGGACAGCGCCCGGGCCCTGAGTTCAAATCCCAACACTGACACACACACACACACACACACAGAAACGAGTGTGTATCATCGCCCCTGGGTTACTTTAGTTCCACATGAACTCTTCCCTGTCTAGAGCGAGTCCTCCCAGGGGTGGGGGGCTGGTTTCTACACTAGGAGGAGGAAGATGGACCCCCCCATTTCTCTCTCTCGCTCTCTGCCCACAGAGCACAAGGCTGGCTGTGCAGCGTGGCGCGCCCTGGCCCTGGCCCTGCTCACTCTCTGCTTGGTGCTGATGGTCGGTCTTGTAGCCCTGGGTCTTGTGTGTAAGTCCATGCAGGCTCTGCGTTGGCTGGGGGAGGGAGAGCGGCCGGGGGGGGGGGGGGGGGGAGGGGGGAGCGGCGGGGGAGGGGGGAGCGGCAGGGGGGAGGGAGGAGGGAGGAGGGGGGAGGGGGGAGGGCAGGGTCTCAAGGTTTGTCTAAGAGAAACAAAAAAATATATCTTGCTGTGGATTTTTAAAGATTTAACTTAAATTCTGGAAGTCTGGGGCATAAAGCAGTGTGTGTATGTGTGTGTGTGTGTGTGTGTGTGTGTGTGTGCACCCGGGCTTGAACTCAGGGCCTGGGCGCTGTCCCTAAGCTTTTGTGCTCCAGGCTGGCGCTCTACCACGTGAGCCACAGCGCCACTTCCGGTTTTCTGGTGGTTCATTGGAGATCAGAGTCTCAAGGACTTTCTGGCCCGGGCTGGCTTTGAACCGTGATCCTCAGATCTCAGCCTCCTGAGAAGCTGGGATGACAGGTGTGAGCCACCGGCATCCAGCTTCAAGGCAAATACGTAAATGCCCGGAGATAGCAGTGGTTTTAAATTCCAGCGTTAATCATTCCACTGGCGTTAGGTACTGGGTTTGAGGTAAGAATGATTGAGCTGGGCGCCGGTGGCTCACGCCTATAATCCCAGCTACTCAGGAGGCTGAGATCTGAGGGTCAGGGTTGCAAGCCAACCTTATCTCCAGTTAACCAGCTCTGGGGAGTGCCCAGGCCCCGAGTTCAAGCCCCAGGAACTCAGGACCTGCTGCTTTTGCTCATTAGCTGGTGCTGTACCAACAGAGCCACACCTCCGATCCTACGCCCCGATTCTTCATGCCTGCAAATAAAACACTGAATGAAGACACACACACACAAGTGACAAGAATAAATGACAAAACTAGGAGTGTGAACGGGAGGCAGGGAGAGAAGCAAGGAGATGCGTATCCCAAGTCTCTCAAATCTGCCTGCCTGGCCTGGCTTTGAACCTGGATCCTCAGGCCTCAGCCTCCCGGGTCGCTGGGCTGACAGGCGGGGGCCGCCGGCACCCACCAAGAACTTAGTTCTGAAGTCGAGAGCTGCTGTTTTGCTCCCTATGTTCAGACCTATTTAGAGCAATGCGTTTGCCAAGGTGACGCAATTAACCATCTGCAGGCTAGAGTCCGAGTCTGAATGTGGCAGCCGGAGATCCCGGGGTCTGAGATCTTGAAGAACAGACTGGAAAACAAAACAAAACAAAACATTTCCCCATATGTGGGAAAAGCAACAGAGCCAGCGCTGGCGGCTCCCGCCTGTCAGCCCAGCGACTCGTGGGAGGCTGAGATCTGAGGATCGCGGTTCAAAGCCAGCCCGGGCCGGAAAGTCTGTGAGACTCTGATCGCCCATGAACCACCCACAAAAGCCAAAAACGGAGGTGTGGCTCGCGTGTTAGAGAGTTAGCTTTGAGCACAGAAGCTCAGAGGCTGCACCCGGGCCCTGAGTTCGAGTCCCTGGACTGGCAGGTGCACACACGCACGCGCACACACACTAATAGTGTGACCCGTCCCCGGGGGCAGTTCTCCAGTTCTACCAGCTCTCCAATTCCCAGCGAGGAAGCCTTTCTGAGATGGAGGAGCGTCTGGGGAACCTCTCGGGAGCGTTGCAGGCGCTGCGGGCGCACAGCCGCGCGCTGGCGGGAAGTCTGCAGAGGGTGGCCGAGAGACTGTGCCGCGAGCTGTACGACAAACGCGCAGGTAGGCCGCCCGGGGCCGCCGCGGACCGTCCCTGTGAGCGTGGGCCGGGCACGGTGTGCGCAGACGGAGGCCGGGGGCAGAGCCGGAGGAGCACACGCACTGCATCTCAACGCACAAAGGCCCTCCGCGCGCTCACGTGTGTGTGCGCGTGTGCACGCGTGTGCGTGCGTACAGGGGCTTTGAACCCGGGGCCTCGCACGGACCCCGCGAACCCCGGCTCCACTCCCAGCTTTTGGCTGGCTGCATCGCAGAGAAGAGGCTGTCCACCTGCGCTGTCCGGGCTGGCTTTGAACCGAGATCCTCACGGATTCCTGCCACCAGCCCTGTGCCCACCTGCCTGCCTGCCTTCTCCGTCCCTCCCTCCCTCCCTCCCTCCCTCCCTCCTTCCCTCCCTCCCTCCCTCCCTCCTTTATTTCTTCCTTCCCTTTTCCCCCCTCTCTCACCACTGAGGTTTGGCCCTGGGCCTTCGACCTGCTGGGCCGGTGCTCTACTGCTTGAGCCACACCTCCAGACCCAAGACACACACCCGTGGCTTAGCCGACCGAGCGCGATCGGGTTCCACGGGGGGAAAGGCCCCGCTAGCCCCTTCCCCCCGCACGCAGGACACAGGTGCAGCCCGTGCCCGGACACGTGGTGGTGGCAGGGAGCCAGGTGCTACAAGTTCTCCGGAGAGAGCCGCAGCTGGCAAGGCTGCCAGTCCTACTGCGAGGCGGAGAGCGCCAGCATGCTGAAGATCGACACGCAGGACGCTCTGGTAAGTGCCGGGCCTTCCTAGGCTGGAAGAGGATGGTAAGAGCAACACCTCCAGGCCCAGGGGCTCACGCCGGTCACCCCAGCGACCCGGGAGGCTGAGAGCTGAGGCTCACGGTTCAAAGCCAGCCCGGGCAGGAACGTCTGTGAGACTCTCATCTCCAACTAAACACCCAAAAGCCGAAGTGCAGCTGTGGCTCACGTGGTAGAGCACCATCCTCGAGCGGAAAAACTCAAGGACAGCTGCCAGGCCATGAGTTCAAGCCCCAGTACTTCATGCACACACATGCACACACGCACACACACACATGCACACACGCACACACACATGCACACACACATGCACACACGCACGCACGCACACACACATGCACACACGCGCGCACACGCATGCACACACACGCGTGCACACATGCACACACGCACACACATGCACACACGCATGCGCGCGCACACATGCACGCGCACACACATGCACGCACACACATGCACACACGCACACACATGCGCACACACATGCACACACATGCACACACACATGTATGCACACACATGCACACACACATGCACACACACGCACGCGCGCACACATGCACGCTCACACACATGCACACACATGCACACGCGCACACATGCACACGCATGCACACGCATGCACACACATGAGCACGCATGCACACGCGCACACACATGCACACGCATGCACGCACGCACATGCACATACACACACGCACACACATGCACACGCATACACACACGCATGCACGCACATGCACACACACAATGTATGCACACACATGCGCACACACATGTACACACATGCACACACATGCACGCATGCACGCACATGCACGCACATGCACGCACACACACATGCACGCACGCACACACACACCCATCATGGATGACAGAAGTCTTGGTTGTGATTCTGGGTTACAGAACACCAACATGAATTCATCGTCCCCAAGACCAAAGGTCCCGGGTTCAGCTCTGAGCCTCCCTCTGAAGGATCTCATGGTGCCTGCTCGCTTCCTTCCCCCGCTGCTCCCTCCACTCCTTCCTTCCCTCTGTGTCTGTCTGTCTCTGTCTCTGTTGCTGTCTGTCTCTCTGTCTCTGTCTGTCTGTCTCTGTCTCTGTTGCTGTCTGTCTCTCTGTCTCTCTGTGTGTCTCTCTCTGTGTGTCTGTGTGTGTCTGTCTCTCTGTCTCTGTCTGTCTGTCTCTGTCTCTCTGTCTCTGTCCGTCTCTGTCTATCTATGTCTCTCTGTCTCTGCCTGTCTCTCTCTGTCTGTCTGTCTCTGTCTCTCTGTGTGTCTGTCTGTCTCTGTCTCCCTGTCTTCTCCCCCCCCCCCCTTCTCTGCTAACCCTGGGTCTTGAACCTGGCCCGGGCTCCGTCCCTCAGTGCTGGGCCGGGTGGGCACGGGGGCAGGGTGGGTGGAGGCCCCAGCAGCCTAGGGCTCTGGGCTGGGGGCTCTGGGCTGGGGGCTCTGGGCTCTGGGCTGGGCTCTTGGCTCTGGGCTGGGCTGTGGGCTGTGGGTTGTGGGCTGGGCTGTGGGCTGTGGGTTGTGGGCTGTGGGCTGTGGGCTCTGGGCTGGGCTGTGGGCTCTGGGCTGGGCTGTGGGCTCTGGGCTGGGCTCTTGGCTCTGGGCTGGGCTGTGGGCTCTGGGCTGGGCTCTGGGCTGTGGGCTGTGGGCTCTGGGCTGGGCTCTGGGCTCTGGGCTGGGCTCTTGGCTCTGGGCTGGGCTGTGGGCTGTGGGCTGTGGGTTGTGGGCTGTCGGCTCTGGGCTGGGCTCTGGGCTCTGGGCTCTTGGCTCTGGGCTGGGCTGTGGGCTGTGGGCTGTGGGTTGTGGGCTGTGGGCTCTGGGCTCTGGGCTCTGGGCTGGGCTGTGGGCTCTGGGCTGGGCTGTGGGCTCTGGGCTGTGGGCTCTGGGCTGGGGGCTCTGGGCTCTGGGCTGGGCTCTTGGCTCTGGGCTGGGCTGTGGGCTGTGGGCTGTGGGTTGTGGGCTGTGGGCTCTGGGCTGGGCTCTGGGCTCTGGGCTCTTGGCTCTGGGCTGGGCTGTGGGCTGTGGGCTGTGGGTTGTGGGCTGTGGGCTCTGGGCTCTGGGCTCTGGGCTGGGCTGTGGGCTCTGGGCTGGGCTGTGGGCTCTGGGCTGGGCTCTGGGCTGTGGGCTGTGGGCTGTGGGCTGGGCTCTGGGCTCTGGGCTGGGCTGTGGGCTCTGGGCTGGGCTCTGGGCTGGGCTGTGGGCTCTGGGCTGGGCTGTGGGCTCTGGGCTCTGGGCTGGGCTCTGGGCTGTGGGCTGTGGGCTCTGGGCTGGGCTGTGGGCTCTGGGCTGGGCTGTGGGCTCTGGGCTGTGGGCTGTGGGCTCTGGGCTGGGCTGTGGGCTCTGGGCTGGGCTGTGGGCTCTGGGCTGGGCTCTGGGCTCTGGGCTCTGGGCTGTGGGCTCTGGGCTGGGCTCTGGGCTGGGCTCTGGGCTGTGGGCTCTGGGCTGGGCTCTGGGCTGGGCTGTGGGCTCTGGGCTCTGGGCTGGGCTGTGGGCTGGGCTCTGGGCTGTGGGCTCTGGGCTGGGCTCTGGGCTCTGGGCTCTGGGCTGGGCTCTGGGCTGGGCTCTGGGCTGGGCTCTGGGCTCTGGGCTGGGCTCTGGGCTGGGCTGTGGGCTGTGGGCTGTGGGCTGTGGGCTCTGGGCTCTGGGCTCTGGGATCTGGGCTCTGGGCTGGGCTCTGGGCTCTGGGCTCTGGGATCTGGGCTCTGGGCTGGGCTCTGGGCTCTGGGCTCTGGGCTCTGGGATCTGGGCTCTGGGCTGGGCTCTGGGCTCTGGGCTCTGGGATCTGGGCTCTGGGCTCTGGGCTGGGCTCTGGGCTCTGGGCGGGGCTCTGGGCGGGGCTCTGGGCTCTGGGCTGGGCTCTGGGCTCTGGGCTGGGCTCTGGGCTCTGGGTGGGGCTCTGGGCTGTGGGCTGGGCTCTGGGCTCTGAGCTGGGCTCTGGGATCTGGGCTCTGGGCTGGGCTCTGGGATCTGGGCTCTGGGCTCTGGGATCTGGGATCTGGGCTCTGGGCTGGGCTCTGGGCTCTGGGCTGGGCTCTGGGCTCTGGGCTCTGGGATCTGGGCTCTGGGCTCTGGGCTGGGCTCTGGGCTCTGGGCTGGGCTCTGGGCGGGGCTCTGGGCTCTGGGCTGGGCTCTGGGCTCTGGGTGGGGCTCTGGGCTGTGGGCTGGGCTCTGGGCTCTGAGCTGGGCTCTGGGATCTGGGCTCTGGGCTGGGCTCTGGGATCTGGGCTCTGGGCTCTGGGCTCTGGGATCTGGGATCTGGGCTCTGGGCTCTGGGCTCTGGGATCTGGGCTCTGGGCTCTGGGCTCTGGGCTCTGGGCGGGGCTCTGGGCTCTGGGCGGGGCTCTGGGCTCTGGGCTCTGGGCTGGGCTCTGGGCTCTGGGCTCCGGGCTCTGGGCTCTGGGCTGAGCTCCGGGCTGTGGGCTGGGCTCTGGGCTGTGGGCTGGGCTCTGGGATCTGGGCTCTGGGCTGGGCTCTGGGATCTGGGCTCTGGGCTCTGGGCTCTGGGCTCTGGGCTGGGCTCTGGGATCTGGGCTCTGGGCTCTGGGCTCTGGGCTCTGGGCTCTGGGCTCTGGGCGGGGCTCTGGGCTCTGGGCTCTGGGCTGGGCTCTGGGCTCTGGGCTCCGGGCTCTGGGCTCTGGGCTGAGCTCCGGGCTGTGGGCTGGGCTCTGGGCTGTGGGCTGGGCTCTGGGCTGTGGGCTGGGCTCTGGGCTCTGAGCTGGGCTCTGGGATCTGGGCTCTGGGCTGGGCTCTGGGATCTGGGCTCTGGGCTCTGGGCTCTGGGATCTGGGCTCTGGGCTCTGGGCTCTGGGCTCTGGCATCTGGGCTCTGGGCTCTGGGTGGGGCTCTGGGCTCTGGGCTCTGGGCTGGGCTCTGGGCTCTGGGCTCTGGGCTCTGGGCTGGGCTCTGGGCTCTGGGCTGGGCTCTGGGCTCTGGGCTCCGGGCTCTGGGCTCTGGGCGGAGCTCTGGGCTGTGGGCGGGGCTCTGGGCTGTGGGCGGGGCTCTGGGCTGTGGGCTGGGCTCTGGGCTCTGAGCTGGGCTCTGGGCTCTGGGCTCCGGGCTCTGGGCTCCGGGCTCTGGGCTCTGGGCTCTGGGCTGGGCTCTGGGCTGTGGGCTGTGGGCTGGGCTCTGGGCTGTGGGCTGTGGGCTGGGCTCTGGGCTGTGGGCTGGGCTCTGGGCTCTGGGCTCTGGGCTGGGCTCTGGGCTCTGGGCTCCGGGCTCTGGGCTCCGGGCTCTGGGCTCTGGGCTGGGCTCTGGGCTGTGGGCTGTGGGCTGGGCTCTGGGCTGTGGGCTGTGGGCTGGGCTCTGGGCTGTGGGCTGTGGGCTGGGCTCTGGGCTGTGGGCTGGGCTCTGGGCTGTGGGCTGGGCTCTGGGCTCTGGGCTGGGCTCTGGGCTCTGGGCTCTGGGCTGGGCTCTGGGCTCTGGGCTGGGCTCTGGGCTGTGGGCGGGGCTCTGGGCTGTGGGCGGGGCTCTGGGCTGTGGACGGGGCTCTGGGCTGTGGGCGGGGCTGTGGGCTGTGGGCGGGGCTGTGGGCTGTGGGCGGGGCTGTGGGCGGGGCTGTGGGCGGGGCTCTGGGCTGTGGGCTGTTGGCTGTGGGCGGGGCTGTGTGCTGTGGGCGGGGCTGTGTGCTGTGGGCGGGGCTCTGGGCTGTGGGTGGGGCTGTGGGCTGGGTTGTGGGCGGGGGCTCTGGGCTGTGGGCTCTGGGCTGTGGGCGGGGCTGTGGGCTGTGGGCGGGGCTGTGGGCTGGGTTGTGGGCGGGGCTGTGGGCTGTGGGCTGTGGGCGGGGCTGTGGGCTGTGGGCGGGGCTGTGGGCGGGGTGGGTGGAGCCTCGCGCCCAGCTCCCGCTGCCCCGCCCCCGCAGGCCGAGGCGCGCAGGCGCAGCTACTCGGAGTTCTTCGACTCGTACTGGACGGGGCTGGCGCGCCGGGCGGGCGGCGCCTGGCTGTGGGCGGACGGCACGGCCCTCGCCCCGCGCCTGTGAGTCCCGGGATGGGGGCGGGGTGGGGCGGGAGCGGGGTGGGGGCGTGGGGGGGCGTGGCGGGAGGGTGTGGCGTGGGCGTGGAGGGGCGTGGCGTGGATGGGGCGTGGCCGGAGGGCGGGGCGTGGCGGGAGGGGCGTGGCAGCAGGGCGGGGCGGGCAGCAGGTGGTCGAGGGGGGCAGCGGGGAGCCAGGAGGGCACAGCCGGGCGGAGGGGGGGGGGGAGAGGAGGGGGCGAGGCGGGGGAGGGGCGGGATCCCGTGGCTTCTGCCCCAGGACAAGTTCCAGAAGAGTGGCCTGCACACAGGGTGCGGTGCGGGTGTGACCCCTGCGGTGTGATCCTTGCGGTGTGATCGCTGCGGTGTGATCGCTGTGGTGTGATCGCTGTGGTGTGATCGCTGCGGTGTGATCGCTGCGGTGTGATCGCTGCGGTGTGATCCCTGCAGTGTGATCACTGCGGTGTGATCGCTGCGGTGTGATCCCTGCGGTGTGATCGCTGCGGGTGTGATCGCTGCGGTGTGATCGCTGCGGTGTGATCCCTGCGGTGTGATCGCTGCGGTGTGATCGCTGCGGTGTGATCGCTGCGGTGTGATCCCTGTGGTGTGATCCCTGCGGTGTGATCGCTGCGGTGTGATCGCTGCGGTGTGATCCCTGCGGTGTGATCCCTGCGGTGTGACCCCTGCGGTGTGACCGCTGCGGTGTGATCCCTGCGGTGTGATCCCTGTGGTGTGATCGCTGCGGTGTGATCGCTGCGGTGTGATCGCTGCGGTGTGATCCCTGCGGTGTGATCCCTGCGGTGTGATCCCTGCGGTGTGACCCCTGCGGTGTGACCGCTGCGGTGTGATCCCTGCGGTGTGATCCCTGTGGTGTGATCGCTGCGGTGTGATCGCTGCGGTGTGATCCCTGCGGTGTGATCGCTGCGGTGTGATCCCTGCGGTGTGACCCCTGCGGTGTGACCGCTGTGGTGTGATTGCTGCGGTGTGATCGCTGCGGTGTGATCGCTGCGGTGTGATCGCTGCGGGTGTGATCGCTGCGGTGTGATCGCTGCGGTGTGATCGCTGCGGTGTGATCGCTGCGGTGTGACCCCTGCGGTGTGATCGCTGCGGTGTGATCGCTGCGGTGTGATCGCTGCGGTGTGACGCATGCGGTGTGATCGCTGCGGGTGTGATCGCTGCGGTGTGATCGCTGCGGTGTGACCCCTGCGGTGTGATCGCTGCGGGTGTGATCGCTGCGGTGTGATCGCTGCGGTGTGATCGCTGCGGGTTGTGATCGTTGCGGTGTGATCGCTGTGGTGTGATCGCTGCGGTGTGACCCCTGCGGTGTGATCGCTGTGGTGTGATCGCTGCGGTGTGATGCACAGTAAA